CGGCTAAATCATGAGATATCTCAATAAATGGACAGTCAAGCAATAGAAAGTAGGTGAGTTTGCAGCCGGCCACCTTTTTTGTCTTCGTGTTTTGGTGAATTCCTGTAAGGCAAGGTGCCTTTCTTTGACGATATTCGTAACATGAGGGGCGAAAGCTCAGCATGGATGAGCCGGAGTCGCGGGACGATCAGCCGAGGACGAATTCAGGAAAATCTACAATCACAGACAATCATCCTTCAGCTTTCAGTGAGATCAATTATACAATAGTTAATACTTAACAAATTTATTATTATTATTTTCAAAATCCATTGATACTTTAAGGTTAAGTGCTTTTCTCATAAATGAGGAGGATAGATGACAAACTAACTCGTTTAGCCGGAGACAGAAGAGAAGCATCTTTTTCTTGCCTACGCCTCGTATTTGCAGCTGAGGTGGATGCATTGATAAGATTTTTGACAGTATGAGATGAAGAAATAACAACAGGAGGTGGAGAAGATGATGAAGTGAAATTTAGATGATTCACAGTAATCGAAGCGAGTCGACGCCTTTTAGGTACAGTCTCAATTGTAGAATCTGGTAATTCGACTACCCGACATTGCGCGGCCTGATCAGAAGGAATAGCGTTGGGTATAGAGGCAATTACTTGGCTATAGTTAAAATCTGGCGTGGCAGCAGATCCAGCGATTAAGGTCTGCTCAAGTGGCACAGGCGACTTGGCAGCACACAAAACACTGATAGGAACATTTTTAGATGCAGAAATCAAATAACTGTCGTTGGACTCAAGCGCTTGGCGTTCGGCCCGTCTAAAAACGACTCGTGGTTGACTGAGAGAAATATGCAAATAAAAAGTCATTTATTCAATAATTATGATATGATAAGAGGACGACAAATGACCACTTTAAGACAGAGGGAATTCAAAATAGTCTCGTAATCAGTCAATTAAATATGAATGATGGTTAATAATACGAGTCGAAAAAATGGTAGCTTCAAGAGGACATCCTATTCCAAAATATGGCATTCAAAAAGTGTTTTATTCAAAGGAGTGAAGTATGTTTTCAGGATTATCAGTAAATCTTAAGAAAAAAAGTTCCAGTCACCCTAGGTCGCCTCAGATAATGAATAACTGGTAAGTGAATTTTCCCACAATGATATGAGTAGACCCTACAATTCCATCGAATTATACAACCTTTCTTCCCATAAGGTATTATCATTCAGGGTGGACGGCAGCTTCGACATCGCCTAGGGCTCGTAAGCAAATCCAGGTGATGCAGTGATACTCTAAACATGTTATCCCATGCAAAACTGCCGTGAGTGCTTATGAGTCAGAGAGCAGACGCAGATTTCAGGGCTTCCCCAATATTATATTTAGCAGTAGGATTATCGATGAGGCAAACGTGTATTTTGCTATTACAGCAGGCTACGTTGATTATATTCAGAAGAGGTAGGTATAAGATTACCGTTGAGGACGTTCATTAGAATAAGGCAACGCGGAAGCACTCGACTGAAGCCCATCTTATGGAATCTGATTTTGAATAGTGGAAATATAAGCCCATCTTTAGTGCCTCCTAATAAAGTGGTTATCCAGAGTAGGATAAAAATGAATATACTATTCCTATTGACCAGATATCAATCGATAAAAGCATATTCCATCCATAAAACCGGCAACACCTTGAATAAGTAGCATTATAATGAATAACGCTGTGAATACAATGATAATTCCCCTAATTATACCTGTAGGTATAGATATGTTTGAAAAAATCAAGCCAACATTATCGAATTTATCAACATTTACATAAAATTTTTAAAGCCTGATAATTTTACTTTAGAATGGACACCCTCATTATTATCGATTTTGATGGACACTGATTATTTCTTACACAAAATTGTGATATTTTTATTGATAAATTTAGTACAACGTAAGCAATTAACCCTTAAATCAATGTACTTACTTCAATTTATCTAGATCGCAAGACTTTTTAGAGCGCGGAAAAGCCTTTTTTAGAAGGACGAAGGGCTCCGGATGAACCAGATCGTTACCTTTTACATCAGGCTTAGGATCAGAATCCGCTTCTTAAGAGAAAATAAAGTTAATAAAGCGATAAAAGAGATTTGAGCCAAAGGTAATAGGATAAATATTAAAAAAATAAAGCAGCTTTAATTATATCAGCCCAGAAAACAAGTAAGCGAAATACATTACTTTTGCAGGGGCTTCGTATAAAATGAAGAGATTTATCGGTTGATCTCACCGAAGGACGATGGCCGATTCCCGGTGTACTGTAATAAGAGGTTCATGTTGACGCAGTCGAGATATTCCCCCTCCTTTCGAGTAAAGCCGGGCCGTTGTGTGAGATCAACTAACGAATATCTTCAGCATGCACTTTCATATAAAACCAAGGTCAAGACAACAACGTTATCCTTTAGGATTCATTAAACCCAGCTACTCTATTTATCTGTAATATTATTTTTCAATTCTTCTGCGATCTCATTCCAGCTTAAGTACAAAGAAAGTAATAGAGGGCGTATTTCTCACGGAGAGATGCTAGTTAGCCAATAATCTGATTAGGCAATTAATGATGAAACCTTTTAACACGAAAATGTAAATTTTGAGGTATATAATATGTTAAAATTTATATTAGTACGGTAGTATATAATGTGGCTTGAGAGGCTCATTAGATATAAACGTTGACCTCGCTAAGACGGTTTACATGGTATGAACGTCAAGGCACTACTAAAATACAAGGCTTAGCGAGCTTTAATTAAGTGATGATTATAAAAAGTAAATGAGATTAAATATAATATTTTGATATAAAAAAGCGTAAGCAAATCATAGATATATTAAAATATTGATTGGAACTCGTGTACTCAGAATATTGAATGAAAATTAGGTCACAAATGCACAGATACAAGCATCACCTATAAGGCCCAAATTGACATGTAAGCATTGATAATAAAAGAGCCAGAGTATAATCTACAAAAAAATAATATACAAAGGAAACCTGGACAAGCTCGAACATGGTAACGTTGGGATTAAAGATATTACCAAAATCTCTAAGGAGTTTGATAATGACTATGGATTTGGTTGACGCAAAACTGAGTATTTATATACAAAATAGCAATTGCGTTTATTTTAATTTTTCAATAAGGAAAGAATTATCGAAAGATAAGGTGTACTTAAAGATTAGTTATTGCAGCCTTTATTTCAAAAAGGGACAGGCTGAGACCTTTTTCCATGTCATAATTTTACCGTCATGCTTTCTCTCAAAAAAGATAGGCGAATTAGTAAAGTGGGACATAAAAACAGTATTCAAAGAAACCCCCACACTTTATTCTGTTATGCCACTTTTTAGAGAGAAATATGACCCATTATCGAGATTCGGCTGCTACAAGATTGTTCATATGGTCGATGTTATGTTGGCGAGACATGCCGATCTATTCGACAAAGATTGGTAGAACACAAAAATTCTTGCAAAGATAGCTGGATCCAACGGTCAGAATTGGCCGAACACATGGTATAAACTGGACATGAAATAAAATGGTATAAAAACTAGCAGGTTTGCTGATTATGGTACGACTGTAGTTAAAAGAAAGATAAGAGGCTATTGAAATAAATAGAAAGAAAAGAAATACGTTGAATGTGAGGAACAGAGATAGAAAGTTGAGTAGGAATTACTTATGCTTGATTGAGATTGAGAGGGTGTTGAGCCGCCGTCAAAAAGAAGGCGACTCAATTTGTCTGCTTAGTCATGGTTCTAATTTCACTCACATCCGTTCAAAATGTTAGAATAAGCTCATCAGCCAAACCAGACATATCAGATTACGCAACCCCAGTGTTGCCTTTCCTTGGAGGGTTAAACGTTTATGACCCTTGACTAAGAGGTTAGTACAAGTGGTTTCGTAACTTGATTTTCATGCTTACAAGCTCATATTTCATTATCTCAACCATACTTGTTTACAGACCTAAGCAGTCTCGGTCAAGGATTTCTTTTGGGTCATTAGATCTTGAGGATCAGAACCTGAGATTTAACCTTTGACAACGCTGATTTAGGAACCGTATTGCATATAGACGCTAAAACGCACAAATACACATAGTCATACAATCGAGCAAAAATAACAGGACCAGTATAATCTAAAATTAACCAAACCACTCTATATCGATCTATCTAGGTTTTTAATTTTCATTTGGCTCAATTGAGTCTATATAAGAAATAAGATAGGGCCGATTAGTGATCTTGGCCTAGTGTTAACGTGATACTCTTACAAGAATGAAACCTAGCTCTGATGATGTCCATCATATGCTAGACGAAAGCTTAGCACGTTTTCACCCGAACGAGAGAGGAAGTCTTGTAGACTGTGTCAAAATGAATATCGTACAAACGCCAAACGGCTGCAGTACAACGAGATTCACCCGCCCTCCTATTGTGAGATCGACCAACGAATTTCTTGTACATGCACTTTCATCCGAAATGAAGGCACCCCTAACAATGCTATTTCAGAAGATTAAACAAAACGAAGTTTCTCTTCGTATCTATAAATTTTATGCCTAGATAAGAAATAGGATCGCTATTATTAATTTGGGACAAGTAACAAAATATTCATCGATGAAAATCTATAAGGACCACAGGTTGAAAATTCGATATGGACTATTCTAACATCAGCTAATGTTACTAGTATATACTAGCAAATAATGCAAAAAATGTTGAAGAGAGTAAAATAAATGTATAAGGCATATATTAAATGTATTCACAAGAAAAGAATTAAAGAACCTTGTGATGGAAAATTTGAATTGCTATCATAATCATCGGAAAAATCACAAGTCAGTTTAGATATTCGGCGAGCAATAAGTATGATCGAAGACAACTGCGGGTGAAGTTG